AATTAAAAATCTATCGTGTGTTCATTATTATCGGTCCGGACGTGCATTTTTATTTTAACCGAGTATAATGTAGCTATATTGTACCATATATATGATATTATTATTCTATACAAGACTGAATTGGGTACTTTTGTAGTTGTCTCTGGAACCACTTATCGTATGATCATCACGCGATTTTTTTGTACATTTATAAAGTACACCACTAATATAATAGCTGTAATTATTAAATTATTACAAAAAAAAAAATGGAAATTCGAATCTAAATGTATAATATCTCTGGGACGTCTGGAGCGATTTTAACCAAATCTGTTACACATACGACTTAAGTTTTGGAAAAAATACTGTTGAGGTAAAATACCTTTATGGTTGGGTGGGTAACTGACTGCTGAGAAGGGGTGACTGGAGTAAACTATCCGGGTCTCCGGTGCTCGATTTAGATAGAATTAATAACATCAATGAATGGGTCTTTATTCCCTGATCAACATTAATAGTACATATTATATAAGACTGACTCAACTCCTGCTCCCGGAAAAACGAGTGGTGATATAAGAACACATCTGTTGCACAATATCTATTTATTATGACTTCTGAAAAATACAATGAGTAATTAATAATTATTATAAATTTACAATTAATGTACATATATTACACATTAAATTATTATATACAATGTAGGTACTTATCTCGAGTACCTAAATATTAATATTATACACATACATAGGTACGTCCTAGAATATAATTATTTAGAACTATAAACCAGAACGAATTCCCATGTTTAATATTTATTATATTTTATAGTATAATATTATAATATCAATATTATTTATAAAAATAATTTCAATTATCTTTTGTACTATTCTACACTAAGTTTAGACCATTAAGTCAACAAAAATGTACAATAATATAATTCAAATGATTATTATTCTCTAGGCATTAAAGATAGGTAGGTATATAGTTAATAACCAAAATAATATTTGAACACCAAAACATTCTTATTCAATGGTTGTTATTTTGTAAATTGATGTTGAGTATTCATAAATTCATAATGTTATGTTAACCTTTCTAGTACCTACCTATAATATTATATTATCATAATATACGAATAAATGCGTAGTAATAAATAACACTAAATTAAAGGTATAATATATCCTATCTACCAATTCTAGTATTGTGCATGCCGTGTGTATAGTTCAAATAACGCATACTTATATATAATATATATATAATTTATAAATATAAATATACATAGGTATATTATTTATTGACGCTATTATATAATTGTTAATCTCATTAATTAATATTGCGCAACGCAACATAACGTATTTAATTAGTTACATACTTAAATATATTATAATAATCAATATCATAGACCTATGAGGTCTGCGTTAATAATGTACAGACAGATATTACGATGACGCATTATAGATAAGCAAATGCATTAGAAAAAAAAAACTTTTATTACTTTTTTGGGAAAAGGCCCGACCGTCTCGTATGTTTTAGGAAACAGTTTGTGTTATCATAAAAATAATGTTTGTAAGATTAAAAAAAAAGTGTACTATATACACGCAGCGTTTAACATTGAATAATAATGTATGAGATTAGCAAGAAGCCGCGGAGATGTCAGAGTTCGACTTCAGTATACGGCCAATTAGCTATTTAGAAGGAACATATTTTATCATTATTATTTATTTTATTCACGGCCGTTACATAAAATAGGCATGAAAATTAATAACGTCTTTAGTGAGATAGGTGCCTCTTAATCAATTTATTATTATACACATGTATTTCGATCAGACCATCGTCATTGGTATACTGATGTCTGATGTGACCTCAGCGACAGTCTGCAGCAATAAATATTAATAAAATATGTTTCAAATTATAATATTAACAATATTGTAAAGTATGCCGCGGCAAGGCCTTTACTAAAAAAAAATTCCAATGAGGTAGTCCAAGTTTTTTAAAAATACTCTAATGAAAATATAAAATCATTTTTGATACAAGTATAGATGGTATTCAATGTGGCTAAAATGTTTTGATTAAATGTTGGGGAAGGGTCTGGTAAGTTATAACTTGTATAGATACAGCCTTTGTATGTGATAAAATATAGCTGCAATAGCCAATAAGTTATTTACCCCTATTATTTTATAATAGTCACAGCTGAGGACTTCAAAATAACAAAATATTTTTAAAATTTATGATATATAGCTGCTATGCCTGCTAAACCCAATTGCGTATATTTAAGTTCTGATTTAATAAAAATGTACTCATTAAGTAGGAACAAATACACTTTGCATAACAATATTCTAAAAACCTTTTTTTCGCCCTTTCACGACGAACGTGGCCTGCACATTTGTATATGCATGTGTCTACTAAAACCATATCTCTAAGTAAGTAGAAATGAGTAAGAATTTTTCTTGAAAAGAACTTAAACAAAAATAAAGCATACAACACGCAGTCATACAAAATCGCTAGGTCTATATAAGGCACTCAGGCTCAGCTTTTTGCATTTTTAATATGTTTTTGTTGCAATTAAATGTTTCTTTTAAAGTGCCTCTTCTACCAACTAATGGCAACTGTCAACTGACAATAATTATTATATTCTCATAAATTTAAATTGCAATACTGATAATTTATCTACGCGACACATTATTATTAACATCGTTGAGTGAGGAAATGTTATAGGCTGTACAAAACGTAAGTAGCTATTAAGCTCTATTCCAGTATTATATATTTATTTATTAAAATATAATTATAACTATTAATCAGCGGGTTAGTTCTCTTACGCACATGATGCACGCCTATCATTAAAGCGATAAACATGAACTTAATTTTAAATTACTAAACGATTCCGTATAATTAGTAATTTCTTAGTCGTATATTATCTAATTGCTATACAGTAATCTAACTTAATCCCGGAAAAAAATTATCATAAAAACACTATATATGCTACAGAGTACAGATGATCGAACGACTTATTTCTTTATACTACACATTTATTTTATTGTATAATAGGAAAAAAAGACTAACACATTTTTTAATATAGTACAGAACACTCTTTGAAAGTGATTTGTACAATCTATTCCATATAAATTAGTACTATTATTATAGTGAATCAAAAATGTTATCATTTAAAACTTTAATACTGTATACCTTTTCGGCTATAATAATTAGATACATTTCTATAGCAGAGAATTCGAGATAGGATAAACCGTTACTCGTAGATGTACTGGAACTTAGACCATATAACTACTATGGATGGAGGCATGGAGCCAAAAGCGTAGTTAACTGAATAAAAAAAAAATTTGCGATAAACTGCGACGATTCACGAATTAGGAGGTCGATATGCACATGCGCAATTCGACTTCTCGTATATTTATCCACAGAAACCTGTTGCACCTATGGATAATATTATGCGAGGAGTTGCATTGCGCTTGAACACATCCATCACATAATTCGGTGACTTGTCGTTATATCGGCAACAGTAGAGTCATTTCAGTTTTCAATAGAGGGGGGTAAAGGTTTTGACCAGCCTGAATGGGTAAAAAAAAAACAGCTTGTTTCCCTCTCAACCACGTAATATTATATAGTACATACTTACATTTTTTTGTGGTATCCTTTTATTAACTAGGTACATCATTTTTAAATATAAAGGTATTAGGTATACGATATAATATGTACCAAATTAATATTATCATAAATTATAGTTTATTATTTATTTTTTTTATTGCTTGCTTACCGGCTCAAGGTTTTGTCTTTTATTAAACATACTAGAAATTATTTAACTGAAGGCCGTGATCAATGATAATTAAATATTAATAAGAGTGCCAGTTGTTGTTTTTAGAATGTGTATTAATTTTAGAATTGTAGAAATTAAACTATACCAGAGTAAGATACTAATTATTAGTATTGTTGTGCATACAACACGATTAATATGCATTGTCCTTCACAAAACACACACATACAATATATAAATACATACAATGTTTATGTCCCCGCATACGTCTAAGTATAAATATATTCCAACTATCAATTAGTAAAAAATAAAAATGTATCATTGTGACAATAATTTCTTAGTTCATAGTATAATATTTTCTGAAAATATTATAAAATAGCATGTTTTGCGATAATAAAGTATAAGAATGGTAAAACGGCAACAACTGGCCACCGGGCCGTTTCTAAAATCAAACAGGGGCAAATGCCCACCTTGTCCCCCCAAATGACGCTACTGATCGGAAACCAAATCATACGCTGTGGCTCCATCCATAGTATATGATCTAAGAACCGGAAGTATACCTGCTTCTAAGATCTGTCATAGTTCTTCAAAACTATTGGAAATGTGCTTATTTGAGTGTACCTATAAATTATTAAAATATATATTTTTTTGTGCACAAAATAAATCTTCTCAGAAACTGTTGCTATAAAATTACTCAGGCAGCAGAATAAAATTAATTACCCGATGCCTATTTATGTAGGTTTATAATGTCAGGTATGATAATATTGATACATTTATGATTTATAAACTGATAAATAGTTAAATTTATAAAATATATTAAAAATATATACAGACCAAGCCTGGGCGAGTGAATGATTATTTTTAATTTAGTTAAGTTCAGTTGATTGAAAACATTTTATAAAGTTTAAAGTTAATAGCTATCCTAATTTTTTTTTTAACTCACTCAAGTTGAAAGTTATAATATGGAAACTTACAATTAACTTAGGTTAAGTTATTATTATTTTTTATATTTATATAATTAGTCAGTAATAGTGTAATACGGTTTAAAATAATAAAAAGTCAATGCAGTATGTATCATTAATAATACCTAATTTTATTATATTTATAAAAATAGATCTTGAATTTCATTAAAAATCAGTCAATTTAAAAATTAAATGAATGAAAATTAAATTAAAAAAAGTTAGGTTAAAAAGTTATAATTAACTTACTAATCATATTATTTATTATTCGTGTATACATATAATATACCGCAAACTTCTATAATTTCTTAAAACAATGTTAAATAATTTCCATCTGATATTAATTGATTCTTTTTAGACACATGAGCCATGTTAACCACCAAAGAAGTAGAATTGCTGGAAAAAGACGTAGTACTATGGAAGTTATCGAATTGGCTAATTGTCGATTTCAGCATGGTCATTTTGCCCATACTCTCCATGGTGTTTCGTGTCATTGCTGCAGCTGTACTTTTTATATTTTTGACGTAGGGTAGATCCGTAAATAACAGCATAAATTTCTCTTTTTTAGTGCAATCCGGAAGGATTTGCCCCAAAAACTGCAACCAAGCGACATTTTCGTGCACAGCTTTACGGTAGTCTTCCAGTGAAATTCTATTATCACGATCCTTGTCCACCTCGGTCATGACAAAATTTACGAAACTCTGATCGTACTCCTCCATATTGACTAATTTACACATTTTCATGCTGTTCCTTTTGGCCATCAGTAATACGTCCTCTTTTTTAATGTATTTCGGCGACCTGATCATCTCCGTGTAGACTTCAAAGCAAAAGTTAATCAAGTCGGGTAGGGTTCCTTTTAACAACATCGACAGTACTTTGACGAACTCGGGCCCAGTCAAGTGTTTCTTGTTCGATTCGGCACAATAGTAGAAATATTTTATCTACGGCTTCTACGTTTCCATTCCTAAAAAACGTCCATGAACTGTATGAAATTTAACTTATCCATAGGTATAGTGTTGTCTTTTGTCAGCATGTAATGCATCTGTAGCAATCGGAGCACTTCTATTTTATTGAAATATGTCGAACGGGAGAGCTCCGTTCCGACGTCTGAATATCTATGCTGCAAACGAATGTCCACAGTCGCCGATAAAAACCTATTTATCGGACTATAAGGCATTTTGATTTAATTTGAAACTGTGTAATATTTGTTATTTGTAAACCTCTTGGTAATTCAAATAGTATTTAAAAATTTAAACATGAATGCATTTATTATTTTGTACTGACAACCAGTAAAATACACAATTTTATATTAATATTTATTTCCATGAGAACCAACGCTTTTTGATACCTACTATTAAAATATTATATTTGTTTGATAATTTTGGATCTATATGACTATATTATTGAGTATCGAATAGATTACAGCGGTTTCCAACCCATGGGCCTCGAACAATTTAATATTAAGGGGTATGCATACCAACCGTTTCTAAGGAGTTCAATATAGGCAATTTTTTATTTGTGTGCATGTGGGTCGTGTAAATGTGTGCGTAGTAAGTGGTAATTAGTCTGAGTGACTGTGTATAAAATAAATAGTGGAGCACACCCGCACGTGCACTCACATGTCAGTAACGCACATTTTACACTCTAATTACAAATGTGAATTTTAGTGAAACACTGAAACTTAGTTTCGTATTTCCAATAATATAGCTTACTGAGTGACATTACAGTATGAACACCTATTATACAAATTGAAGAAAAGAAGTTTATCTAGGCTTGTATAGGAACCAATTTTCTATATTTTATTTTCAATGTCCAATATTTAACTCTAAAACTTATGATATTTTACTTTTTGAATTTGAATTATTGAGTTTATTAATTACAAATATTAAAAATTGACTTCTCTACAGACACAGATAAATTTCTCTTCTACAATATTGATAATAGGTGTTTTTACTCTCAAACCGCTCAGTAAACCATATTATTGGAAATCCAAAAGTACATTTCCATAGATTTTTTCAATACTATTCATACCCCTTAAATATTATATAAATTTAAAATAATATTATTATAACCTAATAATATTCAATCATTATTAACTACACTGCTACAGTATACAATTAGTGTAGCCAGTGTAGGTACAATTAACGCTATCTAACGTTTGAATGTACTTATAGTTTTATCTCATGTAGTTCGTTTATTATTAATTGGTTCCTTTTATTTGTCACTTTTATCGTATTTTATCGTGCACTGTGTGAAGCAAGTGACGAAGATTCGTTGATTGAACATTCATGTCATCAGACTCAACCATTTTTAAAAGCACACCATTATAATGCCATTCTAGTTAAATGTTTGGCAAGACTATCCAGAAATCGATAAAATTGTACTTAGAAACTTGATGGGCTTTTCTACAACTTATCTGTGTAAAGTGTCAGCATGCTTTTTGCCTTTTTCTACTTTAATTTTTTTTTAAATAAACTGAATGTTGAGAGGGATTTAAAGCTAAAACTGTTCAGTTTTAATCCAGATATTGACTCTCTCGTGGAGGACAAGCAATGTCAAAAATCACATTAAATTGTTTAACACTTTAACTTGTGACTAAGTTGAATAAAGTTTTTGTCAAAACAATTTTTTTTTAAATTATTTATTTCTTATAACTTACGTATAATGTGTATATGTATATCAATTTATATATATTATATGCATACGTATATAGGTTCTCTATTAGTGGACCTCAAAGATATTTTTTACAAAATTGGTGGTCCACACAACTAAAAAGGTTGAGAACCTCTGGAATAGTCAATAGAATGCCTATAATATTAATATAACAATATAGTATCCTAGAAGTTAGGATGACTTTAAAACAAAATATTCTACTTGTGTCTGATAGCGCGTCTTTATGGATTTATACATTTAACCGATATTACATATTAAATTAATTAGTTTTAAAAAATTACTTATTTTATTATCTTAACAATTAGTGGTATTTCTTTTTAATCAATTAACATAATGGTGATTTTGACCGAGGAGCCAAGAAAATGTATTAGCATTGGGTATTTTTTTTTTTAAGTATTACAGCGTTTTTTAAAAATAACAATTTTATTGTTGAGTCCACGTGGCCACAGGTCAGCCGCCAGTCTTATGGCTTCTGCAAATAACAGCTTCTGCAAATATCAACAACACCGGCGAGCATAATAATTACATTCAACCGCATTCAAACTGTTGAATAAACAAAAATAAATAAATGTGTAGTATACCAGATACCTATATTTTAATTATTATTATAACCTTCTGGCTTCTGGTATAGTGTCCTAGTAGTATTTGTTATCTCTCTCTGACCCATGCGCAACATTGAACATTTTACATTCACAATAATGATTATAAGTTATAACCATATTGATTTCTCCAATTAGAGTGAAATAACATCTTATACAATTTAAAGATAAGATTACTATTTTTATTATATTTTAACTTTAAAGCTATGTTATATGAGTAATGAGTATTTTAAAATTGTATATCGTTTGTACATCTTAAAATACTCGCTTTAAAATTAAAATATAATAAAACACCTATAAGTCAGTATGAGATTACCTAGATAATCTTACATTTAAATTTTATTAGAGGTCATTTCACTCTAATTGGAGAAATCAATATGGTTAGAATTAGGGCAGACTACTTATAGTCATAAAAAGTCACCAAATATGCATTTGAATTCTTATCTGGCTTCATTCAAGTTGGGGCAGTGGATGATGAAACAACCAATGTCATACACATTTTGTCAGAGTTCAAGTAATAAACATGATTTGGCCAACCAAATAAGAAAGGTGATTCAAGCAGTAACATCTGTTGGTCTGAAAGTTGTTGCTACAATTTGCGACCAAGGAACTTCCAATAGTGCTGCTATTAGAGTATTGCACAATTATACGAAAGAATACTATTTACGAAGAAACGAAAATAACTATGATGATAACTTCTATGAGATTCAATGTGGAGATGAACGCGTCAAAGTTATTCATCTGTATGATCCTCCGCACTTGATAAAAGGAATCAGAAATAACCTCCTCAACAAAAATCTTGTGTGTACAATAAATGGAGAGCGGAAGGAAGCAAGCGGGCAAGATATTATGGATTTGTATGAATTGGACAATAATATTCAAGAGGTAAGAATGTTACCTAGACTCACTAGAGAACATGTTATACCAAACGAAATTAGAAAAATGAAGGTTAAAAATGCTTGCCAAGTATTAAGTCAACGAGTAGGTAGCAACAATTCTAAATTTTTTAGCTTGTAAGTAACTATATATATAATATGTATAATATATTATGTAATATGTGTAAAAATAACTAATTTAATTTGTATAACATTTTTTTCAGCAAGGGATATAATGAGCGTTAAGGCAAAGGATACAGCAGATATTTGTTTATTTTTCGACCAGATTTTCGATTCTGTCAATGGTAACTTCCACAAAGTTGTTGATGGAAAGGTGTATCGTACGGCTGTTCTTTATTTTAACAGGATTTCAAAATGTAGTCAAAGTTATGAATGCTAATGGTGTGCATTCTCTACTATTAAGAAACTTCAATCAGGATCCATTGGAGAATATGTTTGGTGCTTTGCGGGCTCTAGGTTACAGGAATAATAATCCTAATTGCCAGATGTTTGCATCTTCTTACAGAACCCTGGTGTTGAAAAATTTTCTGTCAAGTCACTCGCCTGACAGTAACTGCCAAGACGACCAAGGTAATAGTGGGATGATGTCATTTCAAACTTTATTTGATGCTTACTCAAAAGTAATGTTGGAAGCAGAGGTGACGGAACCATTACAAGACAGGGTTGCTGATGGAAAATTGCGAAAAAAACCACAAACGGAAATTACCCATGCTCAACTTGAACATCAAACCAATACTTATATAGCTGGATACATTTGCGAAAAACTCAATACAGTGTTCATCAAAGATTGTTCAAAGTGCCTGAAGGAAATCTGCACGTCAACTCCAACAGAACAGCATGATCTAGTTAAAAACAGGGATTACCAATTAAATGGGAAATTAAATCTAAAATACCCCAATACAACATTTTGTCAACTAGTTCAAAACACAATTGATATTATTTATAAGCATTTACCGAGTATATGTCATCATTCCTCGTTGAAATGTGAATTAGTTAAAATTATCAATACAACTATTGATACCAACATTGTTTCATGTACAACTCACAAATCAGAGTTTGGCAAAAGATTTGTAGAATTTGCGATTAAACTTTTTGTCCATAACTGGTGCACACATATTAATCGAATATTAGCTGGAAAGATGTATATCAATAGTAAAGAAAGTGACCAAATAAAAAAATTCTCCAAAAGGCCTCAATTTAGAAAAAAATAAAAAAGTAAGAAATTATAATGTATAAAATTAAATTAATTATTATCCCTTAATGTCATTAAATTTAAAACGTTAAATTATATTTAAATGTTTAAGTATTCTTCTTGTTAATTAATTTATTATTTATTTTTATAATATTTATTATTAATTATATTATGCTGTTCAATATAAAAACAGCACAATTAAATGCAAAATCTGTGTTTATAATTTATATTATTCAATTAGTTGTTAACTTTTTTATTGTTATTATATTTAAAATGTTAAATAATATTTAAATTGTTCAGTATTATTTTTGGTTTTTTTCAGTTTATTTATTATTTATTTTTATAATATTCATTATTATTATAATTAAATGTTTCGTATTAATAAATCTGTATTTATTTTAATTTCTGTTGTTCTCTTTTAACTTTTTAGTTAATAATAATAAATTGGTAAAGAAAAAAAGAATTTCAATTGATAAATTCAAAAAAAAGCGGGAATACGGCCGCCGCGCCGCCGCCGTAGTTCTTGTCATCAGACACCAGGATCGCAGTTTTCAATGTTCGAAAAATTAACACAGCAGTTGCCTATCTATTAGTATTCTTGTCGATAATCGATTGTATACTACGGCCCACCATGGTGCCATTCCCACTATTCGGCATATCGCATAGAGTAATAATATATAGAGAAGCTATACCGTATATTACACTATAAAAAAAAAATTTTTTTTTATACATACTGATTTGAGGCAAGCCAAAGGGTGAGCATCAGTGTCGCCACAAGCTCATTATAAAATTAACGTATAACACTTGATGTCTTATCATTGAGTAATAATAATACCGGTAAGATAATAATATAATAGACTCATAGAGATATTAACCGAAGAGTATAAATAGATATGTCGAATGTTGTCATGTTGATAATATTATTTTGGTATCTCAGTAGTTATCTGTGCCTATTGATATTATTCTTTCATTTATTATGTATATTGTATCGGTTATCCGTCATTTTCATACGCGCGTTACGAGAGTACCTATACGGGCTACGAGACAAGCAAATATTACAATATCCAGTGGCGTACATACGGGGGGGGTTTTCGGGTTCAAACCCCCCCCCAGGACCAAAAAAAAAATAAAAAAAATAATGTGATATTATTGATGAATTTCTTATTATTAATCAACCGTGTATACACAAATATACGTCATAATAATATGACTATTGAGTAAACACTAAACACTATAGGTACTTAACCAACAACGAAAAAAGATTTCATAACGAAATCATGGGTGCCGTATAATATGGTATATCAATCAAAATAGACTTTATCTCGATCGACTCATTATAAACACACAAGACTGGGCGAGTTAAGTTTTTTTTTTTTTTAACTCAGTTAAGTTAATATGCATACACATATAGATATAGTATATATTGTATTTTTAAGTACAGAAGTTACCTATCACATAAGTAATAAGTAATAAATAATAATAAATAAGTATTATATATTTTAGTTGTCTTTCAAACAGATATTATTTGTGTACGATGAGTAGGTATTTTTAATTTTAATGTTTTAACTATCAACGTGAATACTGTTCATAATAATTTTTAATAATAATTAATAATCTCACAAAACCGTAAAATCATAAAATCAATAGGTAATTGATTTATTTATTTTTGTTTATTTTTAGATTTTAGTGTCGGCAAACTATATCATAATATTATGTCTATATTATTGAAATTTTGACATGGCAACAAAATAGACTTAAATAATGAAATGTAAAAAAATGAAAAACAAAATAAATTAACTTACAAATAAAAAAATTAATTCGTTAATTTAACGTTGATTAAAAAATAAATTTAGTAAATTAGTAGTTAAGTCAAAAATTATTATTATCACATCATAATCATTATCATTCGATTTCGATATATTTTAGGTTTTTAAGGTAAAATAATTAATAAATAGTAATCATGGCTGAAAAAAAAACAATCGAAACTGCAATCTTTTTTTTCGAAACCAACCTCAATAATGAATTCATTGTCAAATTCATTGAATACAACAGTTATAAGTTCCTCTAGTTCCTCATTACCATCAACTGCATCTGCATCTGATACACCTATCACTCAGTTTACACCTTCGACTACAGATATTAATCGTACATCTTCCAGTTATAATATTTTTGACATTGCACATTACACAAATACATTTTTAACGCAAAGTGAAATAGAAGAAATTTTGAGCAAAATTTGGGTCCCTGATATTAATTACAATTTTCCTATCAAAATATCAGTAGTCGGTAAGCAACAAAAAGTTTTGAGGTTGAAATTTCAATATAAATGGCTAATTAACTTTCCCTGGTTGGCCTATTTAGAAGTAAACAATTGTGCGTATTGCAAATATTGTGTTTCTTTTACTAAAAATGAAGCCGGTGTTAATAACCAAAAATTGGGAGCATTTGTATTAAAAAAAATATGATGATTGGAAACATGCATTGGAAGACTTTAAAAATCATTCGAATTTAAAATATCACAATCAATAGAATTTTTATTATAAATAATTAATAATATAATATTTATAATATTCTGTACTTACTATGTGAATATTAAATAATATTTAAATACCATGAGTTACGTAAACCTTTGTATTTGTTTTGCTATTTTGCCTATTAATATTTATACGTGTAATGTGTTTGATTGTTAGGAAAATGGGTAGTTGCAAAGAGAAGGTTTTAGTGCTGGTTATTTTTTTTAAACCTCCCCCAGAGCAAATTTGAATGTACGCCACTGACAATATCCACAGCCGGCAGCCGTCATAGGTAAATAATTTTTTTATTATTAATATGATTTAATTTGTTTAGTTTATGCTACAGTAAATAAATGTATTATATCAGTGGCTTCTCGTGTTTTTGCGCCAAGTGCACGTGCACTACATACCCAGTTAGAGTGCACATTACCAATTAAATTGTTTTCAACGCATTATTTTGGTCGAGCGTCGGCATTATAATTAATTTTTACTCTCACTCGTTTATTATATTCCGATTACCAACTAAAAATGTTCGTCAATCATAATATTTTTACTTGTGAATACCTATGTATAATATACGTATAACGTATTACATATAATATTACATATTATTATATTTTTTTATGAATGTGCACTACTTCATAAAAAACCCACGAGCCGCCACTGATATTTTAAATTTTCTATAAGAAGTAAACATTTGTTTTTTTATGTAACTGGAGTGTATTTATGTATTTGTCACACTTTTATTTATTGTTTTATTTATTAATCCTCTTTATCTAGTTGAATAATTATTTTCACTCAGACTTTTATAATTATATTGACTACAATAAAAAACGTGTATTATATAATTTATGTAGGTATAATACAACAAAATGTCAAATCGAGATCGTGATAGATTCAGATCATATGATTCGGGTTGTAAAAAAAGAGAAAAGAAAAAATTAAAACAAGATTTTTTAAAAACACAAGAAGGATCATTTAATAAATTTTTAATTTACAAAAATGATAAGTTTGATAGTCAGAATGATGTAATACTATCTACTAAAAACTCAACAATTCCCCAAGTTAGCTCTGACCCAGAAAATGTTGAATTAGAAAGAGAAAAATCACCTGAATTATCATCAATTTGTTTCAAGTCTCCAAAAGCGTTAGATAAAGATTTTGATGAGTTACCACAAACTAAAATAAATGATTTTAAAGAATCAAGTTCCATTGAATTTTTAAGTTATATAAATAATAAGTTTGACAGTCAGAATGATGTAATACCATCTACTAAAAACTCAACAATTTCCCAAGTTAGCTCTGAGGCAGAAAATGTAGAATTAGAAAGAGAAAAATCACTCGAATTATCACCCATTTATTTCAAGTCTCCAAAAGCGTTAGATAAAGATTCTGAGTTACCACTTACAATATTAAGTGATTTTAAAGAATCAAGTTCAAGTAAATTAACTTCAAATGAATCAAATAAAATATTTACGAATACTGCTATGAATGATTTTAATATGTACGATGACCCTGCTAGTTGGCCCATTTCTATTAGCCCAGATTTAAGGACAAATATAGTAAAATTAGGTCCTAAGAGAGTATTTAATTTTAATTTTCCTTCTCATGTAACTATTTCATCTTCGAGTGAAAGAGAAGTTTACAGGCGATTTTCAACAAATTTTTACTATAGAAAGTTATCCAATGGTGAAACAGTTGATAGAAACTGGTTGGTATATTCGATATCTAAAGACTGCGTATTTTTTTTTGTTGTAAGTTATTTGGTATTTCTGTCTACGGTAGCTTAAGTACAAATGGCACAAATGATTGGAGTCATTTAGGAACTAAACTGATAGAACATGAACGATCCTTAACACATTTTAAGTGCACAGAAAAGTGGTTTGATCTAAAAATTAGAATACAACAAATGTCTACTATAGATAAAACTAATTTAGAAATTATTGAAAAAGAAAAAATACATTGGAGAAATGTTTTAAAAAGAATTTTAGCAGCTATTCACTACCTAGCTAAACATAACGAGGCTTTTCGAGGTACGTCAGATGTAATATTTACAAAAAATAATGGAAAGTTCTTGGGCCTTATCGAAATGATTGGAAAATTTGACCCAGTTATGGGAGAACATTTAAATAGGATTAAAAATCATGACACACATGTGCATTATCTTGGTCATGATATTCAGGAAAATTTAATTAAATTGATGGCTGTGGCAGTAAAAACTAAAATAATTAATCTTATAAAAAAGGCTAAATATTATACCATAATCATGGATACTACGCCAGATATAAGTAGGCAAGAGCAGCTTTCAATTATTATTCGTATAGTTAATATGGAGTTTGAAAACGAAATGTGCGATCCCCAAATAAATGAGTTTTTTATGGATTTTATTAATATTGAGTCAACAACGGGTTTTAGTTTAGCCAATATTTTAATTGAACAATTGAAACATTATGACATTGATTTACAAAATTGTAGAGGACAAGCTTATGATAATGGAAGAAATATGATTGGTCAATATAAAGGAGTTCAGAGTCGTATTCTAAATCAAAATCCGAGAGCTTTTTTTACACCTTGTGCAGCACATAATCTTAATTTATTAATTAAAGATGCAGCAAATAGCTCAACCATAGCTTTGTTATTTTTTGGAACAGTTGAAAGGATTTATACAATATTTTCATCTTCAACTCAACGCTGGGATATACTTAAAAAACACTGTAACCTGTTAACAGTTAAAAAATGGGCAGAAACAAGATGGGAAAGTAGATTAGAAAGCGTAAAGGCCTTTCGATTCCAATTTAAACAACTTACCGATGCATTAAAAGAATTATTTAACACTACCACAGACGGAATGTTTAAGAGTGAGTCTCAGTCATTATTAAAATCTATAAGTTGTTATGAATTTATTCTAAGTACAGTAATTTGGTACGAAATCTTACTCAAGACCAATATTGTAAGTAAAAGCCTACAAGGTATAGAAACGGATATGTCTACTTCAGAAAATTTATTAAAAGGTCTCATGGAGTTTTTCGAAGAATACCGAGAAAATGGTTTTGAAAAAGCTAAGCTAGAAGCTAATATTTTAGCAACATCTGCAGAAGTTCCTCAAATATTTAAAGCAAGTCGATTGCGAAAAAAGGCACGTATGTTTAACTATGAAGGCGAAGACAATTCTACAGTTGATGGTGAAACTATATTTCGTACTACATTTTTTATTATTATTATAGATCAAGCATTAAGTTCTCTGAACTTACGTTTTAATCAATTTAAGACTTATAATGAAAAATTTGGTTTCTTATATCGCATTGGAAAGCTTAAAGAAATGGAAGACGACGATTTAATAAAAAATTGTAAAGATCTTCATATGTATCTCATGGATGGTGAGCTCAAAGATATTGACGGCAATGAGTTGTATCATGAACTTCAAATATTTAAATCTCTTGTGGAAATAAACACAACTGCACTTCAATCCCTTTCCATACTAAAAAAATTAAATGGCTCGTTTCCAAACATAACTATTGCTCTACGAATAATGCTAACTGTACCTATCACATCGGCTTCTGCTGAAAGATCATTTTCGAAATTAAAATTAATTAAGAACTATCTAAGGAGCACCATGTCACAAACAAGACTCACTGGACTTTCAACAATATCCATTGAAAAAGAAATAGCTGAAACTATCAAAGTATCAACTACGATACGATTATAAATGATTTTGCAAGTGAAAAGGCAAGAAAAAAATCCTTCTAAAATATATAATAAATAATACATAATATAAACATAATAATATAATATTATACACATTTATTTTGTTTATTTGAACTAAAAAATAAAGAATATGTATTAAATATTAATTGTTGTGTATTATTTTATTTAAACTATTTTGCACGGGGCCCCGCAATTTGTAGCGCCGGCCCTATTACCACGTGTAAACTTTACGTTGCTATAATATGACAAAAAGCGAGATAATAATGGTTTTAAGTATAATGAAACATTAGTTAGACACATATAACATTGTTACATATGCTATAAAAGTAAATCCTTTAGTTCATATGCTAATAAGACATATTAACACTAATGCTCCGCATTGAGTATAGAGTGCGCGGCAACAACTCAATTTTACGACTGTCAAGATTCTAGCTACTTTAAGTACAACTCCCTGCAAACTTTGAACCTCCAACATCAATAATCCACAGAATACAAACACACCACGTGAGTTCATATAATAAAATCTACAAAATACAGTTCAAGAAAGGAAAAACATCAATAATACATCGAACACGGTAACCACTATACTGCATGGTAGCAGTAGTGGGGGAACCACAGATATACCGGTCGAATTTCACCCTACAAACTACCTACTTACGTCGAACGCGCCCGTATCTCCGCCGTTCGAACAACCGCCGCACCGTTTTCTTTCCGTTAAATATTAAAATATAACAACCGCTGCCTAGAGAGGATCCCGCCGCGGAGTCCTCGCAACTGGTATACTACTCCTCTCCTTACCCTGTAGTATTAGTAGTGGTACAGCATTGTCTGTACTGTTCAAGCTACTATTACTCAGCGTGGGAGAGGAGAAATCTCCCAAAAACCCGCCATATAGAAATCTGCAGTGATACAGCACCACTGTATTGTTCAAGCTGCAGATATCTATATAGCAAAAACGTTCGTAGAAAAACAAATACTACACAGACTCTGCAGTGGTACAGCTCATCACTGTACTGGTCAAGCTGCAGCTCTCTGTGTAGTGTGATCGCTCAGAGGTAAACAAAATCGCATTATCCGTCGTCCGAACTTACGCCGCGAGTATCACTACCGACCAATGTTCTACCGTTGGAGGTTAGGTTAGGTTAGGTTAATATTGTTATTTAAATTTGTTATTATTTTGTATGTAATTACTTTGTATAAAAGCCGATTGGCGTTAATCATTATAAATAAATAAATAAATAAAAATAAATAAATAAATAAATAAATAAAAATAAATTAATAACCTGTAGATTTTAAAGATGTCTATATTATTGCGTAGATTGATTGAAAAAAATGTGTACCTATTATTGATAATTATTTTTTGAAAAATTCATATAATGATACCTAAATATTTTCAATAATTAAATAAACTAGAACCGAAATAAATCGAAAAATTCTCTTCCGACAATTTTGATTCCGGTTCCGCTTTAGATTCCTGAGAAAATCAAAAAATGGTTTCGCTAAGGTTCTGGTTAAAATACCGATATTTTTAATTTCGGTTCCAAGCCCTGGTTACAACTTTACAAGATGAGTAGGTACTAATAATTACTTAACATAACACATTCAAGATTTATAGAATTATAGTCTATAGATAAGTATAATGATAATATTAATATCATTATTATTTATTATAGTATAATAATAATATATGATAATAATTTCACATATTTAATGTATTTCAATAATAAAATAATGGCTGCAGTATTGACAACCAAATTTATTTAAATCTACAATTTTTAGGACCCACAAGTTTGTATTTAATATGAGACTAAAGCGGGAGTCTTAACAGGATGGCCCTAGCTAGAGATGTAAGCTTGACAATATTCCACTTCCTTTGAATACTTGATTTTTAATGAACTATTTTTAACAACATTAATTTTTGAGGTTGTATGGTTGTTATGTTAAATTTGTATTATTTAATTAAGAATTAAATGACTTTGAATATGAACTAAAATTAAAGTATTTTATAGGTACCTATAATCATTGATTAAATATATTTAATGAATGCTATAATAATATATTATGTTAAATAAAACATATCTATCAATAATAAATATTTCTGACTTATAATATGGTCTTGTACTCTTGTGTTAAGACTAGGTACATTGTAATTTGTAAGAAGTACTTAATAACTTATAACTAATCATAAAAAGTAGGTAGTTAGTGTAAAATTGTGGAAATAACTCAATCAATAAATTGCAAAAAATTGAAAAATCAATTAATGTAGGAATACGTTTAAACCCTTAACATTTAAACTTGAAGTAAAAATACAATTTTTTTTTATAATATAGATAAAAATGAACATTTAATGCCGAGATAAATTTATTTGTATTATGCGTTTCCTATATTAGGTATGTTTAATAGTATAGTATTAAAATATGTTAATGGTAATACAGTTTAAACTTTAAATATAACTGTGTAGGTTAAATATACTTTAACTAATAACTAGGTATAATGTATATAATATCAAAGGATATATTTGATAAGAAATTAATATGAGAAATTCATTACTCACTAACAATGGTTATAATGCAAGACTATACCTACTTAGTATTAATTGTTATTATGGTGAATTGGCTACAAACATAATAATAATATAAAACATTCATAAACAATTATTATTATTTATTCCTATTTTATATCCTTTAAAAAAAAAACTATGCTGGCCATATAATATATGTCTGTTATTAATTTTCTTTTAATAGAAACCAACTTATTAAATTTATTTATTTATTATTAATGTTTATATTTCAATTTTGTTTAAAATATATTTTAATTATATTATACTCCACAGTTTTAACTTTCATGCGAACAATATTAAATTTTTCTGATTGTCGTTTTAATTTGTAATTTTTTTAAATTTTCCAAAATTCTTTTTAACTTTCCTTACTTTCTTTAAGTTTGTGCAAAATTGATTGTTCTTTTTATTTTCAATGTAAACCATTACACCGTTTTAGATACATATAGGTGCACACATCAACAGTGAATGCAATTTTAAATGAACAAAAGCTACTATTTATCTGAACATGGATCCGAAATAGTTTTGTACGTACTTCGATGTTTCATAGCTATTGGACAATATGGAAAAGTTAATGAGAGTCCACGTGATATTAAGAAATTATTTCAGCTCGGCCAAATTAAACTTGGTACCTATAAACAGTATAAACCAATTAGTAAGTAAAACAATTTTCTGTAGTTTGTAAAATAACATATACACTGTATATAAATTATAATAATATACTCTATTTATAGTATATATTTGTGATGTCTATAAACTTGTGGACTAATTAGTTTGGTTAAATTTAGTATACGATAAATAACTGAAATAGAAAACAAGAATACATTGCAGACCACAAAGATTTCTGTAAAAGAACACACGGTGTATCAATAGACCGTGTATGTGTGTTGAGTGTAGAAGTTCTATGGATTTATCATATTAAATAATATATTTTATATCATCTATGGCAATTGCCAATTGTCGATATTCGTCTGCGACTATTAACAATTCTAATAATTTTAGTGAAAAAAAAAATAATAAGCCATCAATATAATATACAGATAGTTCGTTAAGCAGTATATATTATAATGTAAGTTTTTAACACGAATTCGCACATTTCGTTATGTTCAGGTAATTTTCATGAAATATTTCGATAGTTTCAATTTACAGTTCGGAACGAGATGAAGACGGATGAAGATAGCTGTTTTTTCGGTGGCTTCAAGTACTGCGGACGTTTGCATTGTTGATGCACTCTAGCTAGGTTTCACCGGAAGAGTCGATGTTTCAGCGTAAGTTTGTTTTCATATTATTTTGGGATTTTCGTTTACTTTTTAGGCATTTTAATAATTAAAAACATAATATAACGCAATGTTGTAGTAGAAGCTGCAAACTGTAGTGCCTATATTCTAATTTTTGAATTTTTTAAATTTTAATGTAACATTTATTATGCCTACACAAAACACATTTCTACAAAAATTGAATTAAAAATAAACAATATGATCATTGATTACATACGGAGTACCTATAATATAGGTATTATGCATGGAAAACGAAGGTCGAATTTGACTACCTACTTATCGTGTACACATCAAACACAACAAAGAAATAATAAAAAAAAAATTAAAAATTAAATACACATCATAGTAAAATCAAAATATTCATCGTTCCACTCAGAATCTAAAATACAAATTATAGGTCCCCGATACAATTAAAATGTTCATAATATTGAATAATAATTAATAATTTTGTGATCAGCAGTATTCGTAGAAAATGTTAGATTTGAAATTTTAGAATCTAGTTGGTATTATAGCCGATACTGTAAATTTGATGAATTTACTGAGTATACCTTTATGTTACCTAAAATCCAGTAATCACATTTTTATTTAATGATTTATAAAATACAATAAGCTTTTATAAAAATATGCTTGTACTTCTGCAAATATCTATTCACCATATTAATAAATAATTAAATTAATAAACGAAAATAATAATTCAAATAATATATCATACGTGATACCTATTATTATAATTCAAATTCAAAATTATAAACTATTTTGATTTTTGTCATACAAAATTTCAACGAACAAATATTGTTCCTTAAAGGTCAACACACACTGCAGCGGTGGCGGTGGCGGTGAATTGCTGTAGGACACATTTCACCGCTCACCGCGGCGGTGAAGCCAAGACAATAGAATTTAACGTGACCGCCACCGCTGCAGTGTGGACCTTTACATGGACATTTTTTTTATATAAAAAGTTGCATTATATGATATCCGTGGACTCATCATATTGACGTACCTAGTATAATATCTATCATTATTCATTTATATTCCATGGCAAATCTCATAGTCGTTGCAGACGACACAGTCGATTAAAAATTCTAAAATTTCAATAAGCAAAGCAGGTATGAGTAAAAAACTTACTGCGTCCCGTATAATTTTATTTTTCATAAATCACAATATTTTAAGTTCTGTATTCTCTGAAGCGTTTCGTCATCATCGTCACA